GAGAGGAAGGGAGAGTTGGGAGAGTTGGGAGAGTAGGGAGAGTAGGGAGAGTTGGGAGAGTAGGGAGAGGAAGGGAGAGTTGGGAGAGTTGGGAGAGTAGGGAGAGGAAGGGAGAGTTGGGAGAGTTGGGAGATAAGGGAGAGTAGGGAGAGGAAGGGAGAGTTGGGAGAGTTGGGAGAGGAAGGGAGATGAAGGGAGAGGAAGGGAGAGTTGGGAGAGTTGGGAGAGTATGGAGAGTAGGGAGAGTAGGGAGAGTTGGGAGAGGAAGGGAGAAGGGAGAGGAAGGAAGAGTTGGGATTAGTTGGGAGAGGAAGGAGAGTAGGGAGAGTTGGGAGAGGAAGGGAGATGAAGGGCGAGGAAGGGAGAGGAAGGGAGAGTTGGGAGAGTTGGGAGAGTTGGGAGAGGAAGGGAGAAGAAGGGAGAGGAAGGAAGAGTTGGGAGAGTTGGGAGAGGAAGGAGAGTTGGGAGAGTTGGGAGAGGAAGGGAGAAGAAGGGAGAGGAAGGAAGAGGAAGGGAGAGTTGGGAGAGTTGGGAGAGTTGGGAGAGTTGGGAGAGGAAGGGAGATGAAGGGAGATGAAGGGAGGGGAAGGGAGAGTTGGGAGAGGAAGGGAGAGGAAGGGAGAGGAAGGGAGAGTTGGGAGAGTTGGGAGAGTTGGGAGAGGAAGGGAGAGGAAGGGAGAGTTGGGAGAGTTGGGAGAGTTGGGAGAGGAAGGGAGAGGAAGGGAGAGGAAGGGAGAGTAGGAAGAGTTGGGAGAGTTGGCCGTGATGAACCCCCACTGCTCCTCGTCCACGACCACCCTCCTCGTCTCCACTCCTCAACGTCTCCTCCACTCCTCCTGTAACTCGTCCTCAATGAACGTTGTGAGCAAGCTCCCAGCACGTGGAGCGAAACGTTGGACATTGTGTCGAGGATGAGCAGGGAGGAGGATGAGGGAGGAGGAGAGAGACGAGTGGGAGGATGGGTTTACTTTTAATTATTTCATGAACTTTGCCATCGTGTTGGGGTGCCGATGCTGATCTCTGTCCGCTCATCTTTGCTCACCTGCGGTGTTTGCTCAACTGTATGTGCTCACTTGTTCACGCCTGCGTGTGCTCACCTGTTGTTTACCAATGCTCACCTGTGCTCACTGGCTAATCCCCTAAAACACTTGACCCTAACGCGCACTAAATGGCCGTGCAGGAGTAAACCACGCTCTTGAGGCCCAATGAAAACATCAATTACAGTCATTTATCAGGCGACAATATCACTGGCGAGTGATAGGTCTGAACCGTTCCTCGGCTCACCCACCAACCCATCCGACCCGACCCGCCACCCGAGCCATCCCTTCACCAACCGGCACACTGACAAGCCTGGCGAAGTGTCGTCGTGGTCGTTTGCTCGCATTCCATTCGTGATGAAGCTGCCGGCATGTGGAGCGAAAGGCGCTGTGCGGGGTAAGCCTTCACGGCGGATTCAAGCCAGCGACGTTCTGTTGTAGCCGTGGCCGCGGTGGTCCCGCCAGGGTCGGGAACCCCTGTGGACCAGCCGAGGTAGTTGACATCTCGCCACCACAGGCACGCTGTTCCATGTGTAGTGACATAGAATTGGCTATGAAGCAGCATAGCGCTGGCTGCTGGCGGGGAAGGGGATCTGCAGCTTACAGCAGCCCTGACGTCAGCAGGCCACGTGATAGACCAGAGGGGGATCTCGGGGAAAGGTTACGGAAGGGGCACATTGAGGAACCCGCTCGTAGGTTCTAGAAAGGGCATCGCCCAGTCAGGACAGCCTAGCAGCCTAGCAGCTGTCCTGACTGGGCAATGCCGTCGACCATAAACGGATTTATTTTAAAGTGTTAACCCCGTTGGTGCTTGTTAATAAAGAGTGCCTCCAACTCTCCGTGTCTCCGAGTTAGTTACTACACACGTACCCGGCCACACACGTGTGTGTGTGTGCGCGTGTGTGTGGATGTTGAACTTCTTTCGCCACCGTACGTAGCCAACCCTGACAATCGGAGGCGCGTCGTTAAACGCCTGCGCACCACGTGGCAACTTTATACTCTTTGGGTCTTTCGGTAAAGTCACGTAGGTAGAAAAATACTAAAAAATCACGACGTTCCGATCGCAACACAAGCAATCGTCTTCAGGTGAAAAACACAGCGTATTGTCTGTATTCACTTTGTTTTTTCACCTGAAGACGACCGCTTGTGTTGCGATCGAAACGTCGTGATTTTTAAAAATTATTTTTATACCTACGTGACTTTACCGACAGACCCAAAGAGTTTGAATTCCTGCAGTCACGAAAGCTTTGAGTAAAGATTTAACTCTAGTTTAGTTTGGCAACGTTGGGCGGTGGAGGGTCTCACGACACAGCCGTCATTACGTGGCCTCACCCAAAACAAATCGATTGTATCGTGCAGGATGTAATGTGATGGTGGGGAAAGAGAGAGGGCGAGGAACGGGAGAGGGAAGAGAGCAGGAGGACAGAGAGAAGAATGGGGAATAGGAGGAAGAGGATGGGAAGGGAGCGGAGAGACGGGAGCCCAGGGTGTAGGAGAGATGAGGAGAGCGAGGAGGGATCGGCTGCATCTCTGCCTCGACGCTTGCCGTCGAACAAAGGCGGCGGTCACCGCATCACGCGGCGCTTTTGGATGCGCTTCTGCGGCCGTCTGGAACGCTCTCTTCCTTCCGATGTTAGGAAGCTACCGGAGTTATGTGCAATTTTAGATGATCTCGATTGAATTTTTTTTTCATATATATAACTGATGTTTGTGTTTAACCTGTCGTCCTTCCCCCGCACCTCCGACTAACACGGTTGGCTACGTACGGAGCAAAATAAGTTCAACACAAACACATGCAGCACCTACATTGCGCATTATACGTTTTTTTTGTGTGCACAACTCAGAATCTCTATTTACCCTGGAGAAATCCAATTAGCTATGAAGCTCTTTTTTTTGACAGACATTCATACATCCGCTGCTGTCCGCTGTACGGAGCAGCGGCGTCTGTTTTCACAGGGGGCCCGGGGCGAGGGGCTTAAGAGTGGGGGTGACAAGACACAGGTCACGTGATTTACGAGAGGCTCGAGCTTATTTTTTTATTATTATTCAATTACGGTCTGAGACCTTGGCAGTCAATTTTTTGCAATGATTTTCATTTTCCTTCCTTTCTTTTTTGGCCGAGTTCATGACCTCTCGTGATCAAAACCTGGAAATGGGCTTTTTTATTTCCAGCTGGCGTCACTTGGATTTAGTGCGCTGTGCGTGGGGCGATTTGGGGGGGGAGGGGGGGTAGCACGATGGGGGGGGGGCGGTGGAAGTTGTGGGTTGGGGGAGTAGGGGGGGGGCTTTGTCAATCACGCAACGGGAAACTCCAATAAATATTCTCTCTTGTTGGCTCTTCTCTCTCTCTCTCCCTCCCTCTGCTCTCTAATCCTGCCCTGGTATTTATTTGGTTTCAAATAAAATAGCTGAAGGATGTGGCACAGCGGTGGCTGGGTTTGGTGCGTGGTGCCCGGTTAGGAGCGGGGATATGGTGGGATTATAATTTGGGGGGGGGGGGTTAGGGGGGGCTGTAGGGGGGGAGGCTGTTGAGGTGAGATCAGGTTCCCATGCATTCGTTCACCACTAGTCGACACCGATCGCTCACCACACTTCGCTCACCACTAGTCGACACCGATCGCTCACCACACTTCACTCACCACTAGTTGACATCTATCACTCACCACACTTCACTCACCACTAGTTGACATCTATCACTCACCACACTTCGCTCACCACTATCACTCATCAGGCGCACACCACTACCCACAATCCCTTGTCCCTTCCTCACCCACGACTCACTCACTCGTTAGCCCTCGCTCACACACCGCACACTGATCATCACTCGCTCGCCGTTTAATCACCACTACCACTCACCACCACCACCGCTGCCGCTCACCTATCGCTTTCTCACCACTCGCTCACCACTCTCGCTCGCTCATAAACACTCGCTCACCACTCGCGCCTTCCCTTGTTGCTCCACTACTGCAAACATACGCAGAACAACACTCACCATAGCCAAAGACAAATATACCCCATATAGCCTTAACAGACTGTTGGGGCAAGTGCTGTTAGCGAGTAGCCCCTATGAAGGCATTCACGGCACACGATGGGGTGGGCGACCAGCACCACGCCCGACCGCCTTTGTGGCGATGTTTTCACATTGCACCAGGTACTCATTTTAGGCTGAGTCGACTTAGGGGAGTGGGGGGGCACTGGAACGGTTCGAATAATCTTCCATGATTTTGGCCGTGAGCGGGAATCTAACTCGGGTCACAGGATTCGTAGCGCCGTGTACGAATTGCGATGTCACCACCATCATTAACACCACCACCACTCACTACCAGAAAGTCAAATACCACCACCATTTACACCACCACCACCACCACTCACTCACAGAAAGTCAAATACCACAACCATTTACACCACCACCATCACCACCACCACTCACTCCCAGAAAGTAAAATACCACCACCATTTACACCACCACCACTCACTACCAGAAAGTCAAAAACCACCACAATTTACACCACCACGACCGCCACTCACTCCCAGAAAGTAAAATACCACCACCATTAACACTACCACCACTCACTCCCAGAAAGTAAAATACCAGCACCATTTAAACCACCACCACTCACTCCCAGAAAGTAAATACCACCACCATTTACACCACCACTCACTACCAGAAAGCCAAACACCACCACCATTAAGACCACCACCACCACTCACTACCAGAAAGTCGAATACCACCACCATTTACACCACCACCACCACTCACTACCAGAAAGTAAAATACCACCACCATTTAAACCACCACCACCACTCACTACCCGAAAGCCAAATACCACCATTAACACCACCACCATTCACCACCAGCAGTCCAATCAACACCACCATGAACACCACCACTGATATTGCGTTAACAAGACCGTGCAAACAAACAAAACAACAATGAGAAATAAACAAATACACACGTCATTATTCGTGTGTTTACCTTTGAATTTTTATTGTGTTTTTTTGTTATTTTAAATTAAGCCACGTCTTTTGTTTGTCTGTTCCATTTTAATCGTATGTGTTGTAAAACATCATCATCATCATTCTACATGAGCCACGGTGCAGCAGTTGTGTTCCAAGGAAAAAATTCCACGCATCCCCCCCGCTCCTCCTCCCCCCGTGGGGGTCACGGGGGTCAAACATTGATGCGAAATACGATCCCCCCCGCAAGCGTGCGCAGCCTATCACAAGATAGAACCTCCCCCATGCGCATCCTATAACATTAACAACCGCAATCACATAACTTAACACGCTAATCATAATTAATAATAATGAGAGCATAGAAAATCTATCGTTTCAACATCACCCGATAAATATGAACGTAATTTTTTGTTTTGCTTAAACGACCAGCAACAATAATAAACGACAACAAGAGAAAAAAAAAACATTGTAATAAATAATTTAAATAGCGGTTGTGCATTCCATAATAATGATAGTATTAAAACATAATAACAAAGAATAAGAGTTGAGCTCAAATTTCTGATAGAGATGTAACCATGTGAGTTTCTCTCTCTCTCTCTTAGCAAAGTCGGCTGTTTACAATTAGATGAATAGGCCGGTGGAATGAGTCAAATAATAATAATAAGTCCACTGATTGATTAAAGTATCATAATGACGAACTTGTTGTGTCGTTCATTATTCTGACCAACAGCCTGTTGTCCGTACCCACCCCGATGAAGGTGGGAAACCCCCGCCACCTCCACTTCCCGTGACGCGGCTGATGATGCCTGTCACCTCCCGTCCAGCGGCACACCACACACACACACGTAAGGGAAGAGGCGATGCTATGTTTTCTGACGACCGTTATATTCGTGTAAATCCGATTGGGTCTAGTTGATCGTAAAGCGTGAATCGGAGCATAATCCGATGACTTCAGTGGGTAGCCACAAGATAAGTAACGAGAAGTAATCGGACTGCGGCCCCCAGTTACACGAATGAACGGGCTCATACGTTGTAACGCTGGCGGCTCCGCCTTGAGTTGTCAACTTATTGTCGTCTCCCGTAACTATGCATTCCGCAGTTGCGTGCCGCTGTCGAATGCAAGGGACCGGACTCCTTCAACTCTCTTAAATATGCGGCCACGTGTTTCGCAAACCGGGAGCCCAGAAAAGAGAAACCACAATCGATAACAATAGCAATAATAACATTGTAAATCACAGGACCGAGAACGGAAACGTCACGTGTTGAGGCTTTGTGGAATAATAGCGAATAAAAAAAGGCAATAATTAACGACAGAAAATAATTGTCCTCTTATGTTAACCCATACATTATCGTTATCATCGTCAGCATCATCATCGATTGACAAAACAGTGGAATGAAGATGATGGATTCCGTTTGTGTCAATGAGTGTAGTTAATGTATTTTAAGGCTCTGTAATTTATAACCGACGGAAGGCATTTCACGGTGTATGTAGTTCATTAAAAAAAATAACTTGCGGTGAATCACGATTCAAATCCACGGCGTGACGCCAAGACCACAGCGGCGCTTGAAAGAAAGTTATTTAAAAGAGACCGCCCCCCTATCCCCGCACCCCCCCTCCCCCCGTCCTTCCTCAACCATACTTCACCACGCCGGTAGTTGTGGGTGGTGGCGAGCACGTGGGGAATGAGAGCATAGAGTTACTGTACAACAACGCCACCCCACTACGTTGTCACGCGGCAAGTCTGTGACACCCATTACGCACTGCGGTTACCAACCCACACCCCCCCCCCCCCCCCCGAGTATATTTATTTATCAGCTTTATAAAAATTCAGGTACTAAAGATGTGCCCTTTTATTTGATTTTAACCCTGTGCGCGAACGTCATTGAGAGGCTCACTCAACCACACACAACTCCTCGAATGCACCCAACCTGGATGTGGGGGATTTCAACTTGTGGGGTAGGAGGGAGGCAACGCCCCCCCCTGCCCCCCACCCCAAGAGGGAAGGGGAGGGAGGGGGGTTCAAGCATCTTTAGGGGGGAGTGGGCCGAGTCAAGGCTAAAGAGTCCGCAGGTGTTATAGGCTTGGGAGAGCGGTGGGTGATGTCTGTTGCTCATAGCTCAGTGCACATAACCACGCTCGCGACGCCACTGTCATTGTTTCTTTGCCAAGGCACAGCCAATTACAATAAAATAACTTTTTTTTTCGCAACAACAACAATAATAAAGGTTGATCCACGGGCAGTATTATTCAGTTTACAGAGCCCTCTCACCAATCCACTGCTGCATGATAAGGCCTGCTCACCCCCCGCAACGGGGTTCGTGAGACCATACTTCACCACGCCGGTCACGCTGATGTCAGCCGCGGGTCGTGAACTGAACTCGGGTTTAGGCGGGGTTCTAAGCGCAGCGCCACCGCTCCCCGCTCAACGACAACCATTTGCACACCCGTTAAATTACGACGCTGCCACATTCTCCGGATTATAAGACGCATTTATCCTTCCAACTCCGCGGCCCACCTCACACCACACCCCGCACAGCACACCCCGCACCTCCCGGTATTTTAAAGCAAACATTTGGTGGGTGCGTTTATACTTTCCGGAGCGTCTTATAATCCGGAGAATTGTGGCAATTATCGCCATGGTCAAAAAGAGACTCGCATGCTGAGTTAAATAGGAAGGCACTGGTTAATAGTTAATACATTACTAATATCATCACCATCATGATTATAATTACAATCACCCTTATCATCATCATCACGATTATCAACTGGCAAAATGTAATACAAAGATCACGTAACTATCACCCATCCAAAGGCAGTTGGAAGTGTGCACCGCGTGGGTAAGCATAACGGGCTTACTAATCAAGCCATCAAGACATTTGCTTACAGCATCAATTAATAAAAAAAACCCTTTTTTATTACGTGTCTCTCACCTTCACCCCCTTAAATTGTTTTATCCCGGTTGTTGCTAGCGGCGGCGTCGCGAAATGACAAAAAAAAGAATCCATTCGGAAATCGAGCGGAGCAGTGAGACGCCCCCCCCACCCCTCCGTGTGAAGAGAACGGTCCACGGACGCGGATATCACAGAGCCACATCTGAGATTCCTTCTTTTATCAAGTGTCACGCTCTCTGGTCCACACACAAAACGGCCCACGGAAGTGACTATCACAGAACTACCTCTGAGACTCCATCTTTTATCAAATGTCACGCACTCTGGTCCACACACAAAACGGCCCACGGAAGTGGCTATCACGGAGCTACCTCTGAGATCCCTTTTTTATTCAAGTGACAACTCTGTTGTACGCACACAGTAGAGGGCAACACGTTCCCACCCGCTCTGCTACATGAGAGCACTGCTGTTCGTAGCACGACAGTCAACCGGATAATTTTAATTCTAAGAGCTGCAACTGAGCCAGATTGTGAACCTAAAAACACACGGCCACCTTTGTCTTCCCTACGGCCGAAGGCACTTTTACGTGACAAGAGACGAGAAGACGTTTCAGCGCGTGGGCCTTTTTTCAGAGCTGGCAGAGAGATCCACGGAGTCATTTCACAGTGTGGGGGGGGGGGGGGGGGGGCGGGGTAATTGGTTTGTTGAGACGTTACAATCCCAAATAAATGCAGCCCCTGAAATAATTTCAACAAGTCACAGTCTCCCTGTCTGTCGATTCTCTCTCCGCCCTAAAGGAGGCCCATTGCCCGAAATATTCGTGTATATTACAGGACCTATGCAGCTGATTCATTAATGGCTAATGAGCAGAGCCCTGTACGATTAAGTCAATTCTGAGAATTAATCGATGCACAATTAAAAGTGAATGTTTTTTGGCGGTTGGTTAGTCGCGCTGGTGACCAACCCCCAAATCCTGTCCTCGTGAAGGCTGGAAACCCCCCACCCCAACCTATATGCATGCCACCCGAATAGTCTAGTAACGAAACCGATGATCGGTAGAGCAATCGATCGCTTTGGCTATCGGTTGACAGCCCGGCTATAAAAACGATGACTTGAATCAGATCTGGGTGGCTCGTAAACTCGTTCAGACATCGGCCAAACATCCCAGTGCAGGGTCCTCTTTACTACGCGGCATAGGACTCATCGGATAAATAAATGCATATCATTATTATAATCATTATTCAAACGAATATCATCAACATGTATTTGTAATATTAACACCGTCACAATCAGCATTATAGTTATTGTTCATGTTTAACATAAGGCGGTTAAGTTTTTGTTCCGCTATAAGTCACAGGGCTTCCAGTTCAGAGTAAGATACATTTACTCTCTCCAATAAAGAATCGCCATCATCAGTCATGGTATATCCACTGCTGGATGAAGGCCTCCCCTAAGCCACCGCCACCACCTCTCACGATCATGCGATGTAACAAAGTTCCACCCGGTCAATCCGGACATGCTTTTTCTCTCTCTCCCTCATTCACCATAACGGGTGGCGGTACAGCAAGTCGGTGGGTTTTGCGAACCCGCGTGCGAATGGGAGTGTTAAGTGGCGTTATCCCATCGTACACACACACACACAGCGTGGTCGTGGGGTTTCTCCGGTGGTTTTTTTGGTTGTCTCCCCAAAGAGCAACACGAAAGGCACACGCACGCAAAAATCCAAACTCTCGATCATTATTTAAAGAAAATAAAAAAAGTAGTTGGAATTCATGGCCAAACGTAGCAGGACCCTCCTGAAAGAGATTCTTGAAACTTAAGTGAGGCTTTCCAGAACAACTAATTACGATTTTTTTTTACGATTTGTTCCCATCATCAATTAATAATATTTATATTTAAAATAATAATAGAATTACTTTATAAAAGTCAACTCTGAAACCCCAATGGATGTGAAATGCGAGTTGGAGGTTCGGTTGCAAATTAAAGCCACGTGGAGATCGATCGGATCAATCAATTAATTACTCAATCAATCAATGTATTTATTTATGAATAGAGACCCTCATTAATCAATCAATGAATACAAATAGACCCATCGACTCACATCGATCACCGGGACAAATGCGACGATGAAAACGGCGAGGCGAAAATGTTGTTTCATTGATCTTTGAATCTGCCCGCGATCCGCTAGCCCGTGAGATTTCCTAGAATTAATCACTGATGGGCGGTGGGTGGTTTGGGGGGGCTTGTTGTCGGGGGGGGGGTGCTATGAGGTGAGAGGGGGGAGGAGGTGAGGGGAAGTCACGGCGGGGGGGGGGGGGTTCGGATTATTTCCATCACGATTGCTGAGCACAGCCCCAAGCCCCCAAAGACAATCCCACCCACTCCACCTACCGCCCCCCCCTCCCAAACAAAAAAACCCGCCGAGCGGCCAGCAACAAACGGCACACCTCCCCTTCTCCGCGGCGGCCCTCAGTCGTCGGTGATGGAGAGGCGGCTGAATATGGGCAGCCTCCGATTGGGGTCCATGACGGGTGACTCGGAGCCACTGAGGCTGCCCGAGGAGCTCATGGAGGAGCTGCTGCTCGCGCAGCTGTCGTGGTCCGAGAAGGAGGAACCCTGGGGGCTCGGAGGCGGCTCCGACACGGGGGACGGCGCGCAGCCCGCGGGGCGCCTTTGCTCGCAGGGCGCCTGGCAAGTCGGCGGAGAGGCGCCCCCTACCGGAGCTTGCTGTTGATGATTCTGCTGCAACTGATGCTGCAACAACTGCTGCTGCTGCTGCTGCAACTGTTGCTGATGCTGCTGCTGCTGCTGGATTGGACGTGGAATGGCAAAGGGTGCGAACATGTTGGCCAGCTCTTGGTGAGAGAAGGTGAACGCGTTGTTGGCGTAGCCCCCCGCGGAGTAGCCCGACGAGGAGGACGACGAGGGCGGTGGCGTCGACGACGACGCCGAGGAGGCGGAGGAGGAGGAGGACGAGGAGGCGGCGGCTGCGGCGGCGGAGCTGACGGGCGCCAGGAGGGCCGCGTCGATCTCCGCGTAGAGGCCCGGGGGCGGCGGGGTGAGCGACAGGGGGCTGTGGAGACGCGGCGGCGAGTCCAAGCCGAGCATCGCGGGCGTGGAGAAGCCGGAGAAGCTCAAACTGTGCTGGAGCCTCGGGCGGTCTCCACCACCGCCGCCGCCGCCGCCGCGGCCGCAGTGGGCGGACCTCTTCTCCTCGGCGTTGTGGATAAAGTGGCAGCGCGGGCCGTAGGGGCAGAAGCCGATGGTGTGGAAGGTGCGGCAGAGTTCGGTCTTGTACTTGGGGTGGCGCACGAGCGTGCGCAGCTCGTAGGCTCCGTGCGCGAACTGGCACTTGTCGCCGTACTTGCAGGCGCCGCTCTCCTCGAAGGGGCGGCACAGCTCCGTCTTGTAGCGGCTCGAGCTGTTGCTCTGACCGCCGATGCCGCCGAGGCCACCGCACGGAACGGCGGTGGCGCTGCCGGCACTGGCGACCCGGTGAAGTGGGGGCCGCTCCCCGCCCTCGCTGTACGATCTGTCGCGGAATTTGCCCTCCTTCGAGAAGATGTGCGGCGGCTGCTGCTGCTGCTGTTGATTATGCTGCTGCTGCTGTTGATTATGCTGCTGCTGTTGTTGATTATGCTGCTGCTGCTGTTGTTGATTATGCTGCTGCTGCTGTTGATTATGCTGCTGCAAAGTTGGTTCCGCTTTGAAGCAGAATTCTTGGAACTTTGGGGAGCGGTGGCGTCGATCGGAGAAGATGAAGTTGCCCGTGGGCGCAGCGCTCGCCGGCTGAGATCGCTTGTCCAGGATCCCCATGCTCAGGCCTCTGCTGGAGTTACTCTGTGGCGGACGAGGAGACAGAGAGAGAGAGGGGGAGGAGAGGGACGCGGGGCAGACTTTAAAACCACTTTTATTGCTTCCAGCAGCAACAGCACTGGAGCCGATTTCGATACGAAAGATAAAGTCACCAGCAACAACACAAAACACAATATATTTTTTTAAAAAATCCACGCGCTGCGCGGCACGTGGCGCTAAACGCGCCACGAGCGACAGTTCAGGTCAGTTCATTTATTTTGGTATAGCCCTTTTGGTATAGACACAGAAACGTCACGTGGTGGTGGTGGTGGCGGTAGTCGCCATTCACGCCGGTAGAGAGGGGCTCTTCCGCTCCCCCCCACCCCCCCACAGAGGTGAAGGGTGGTGGCGAGAGATATAAGTGGTGGAGAGATAGCGGCAAGAGGTGGGATAGATAGAGGTGGAAGAAAGCGGTGGGAGAGAGAGAGAGGTGAAATAGAGAGAAAGGAGAGAGAGGTGGGAGAGGGATGTGGCGGAGAAAGAGGTGGGAGAGATACAGGTGGGAAAGAGCGAGAGAGACGTGAGAGGGATAAGTGGGAGAGAGAGAGATGGGAGAGAGAAGTGGGAGAGAGAAAGAGAGTGGTCAGTGTGTCGGTTGCCACCTGTCCCAGATTCCCGAGGACCATCCTCTTGTTGAGGAGGAGGAGGTGGCAGCTGCAGCCCACCCCCCCTCGCCGCCGAGAACCCTGCAGCGTTCCGCGGGACGCGAGTGGTCCCGGGGAACCCTGGCCGGAGCAAGGCTACGCACCGCTCCACGCAACGACCCATCCCTCCTCTTCCTCCGGCAAAACGAGGCACACGCGCAGCCCCTGCAAGTGCCAGTTCGCGCCACTGTTGGCGGATAGGCGCCCCCGCCGGAGGGAGCTCCATAGAGCCTCCCTCTATACCTGGAGGGCACTTGGCCTACTCTTCCACGGTAGTACTCTTCGACAGTACGCGATGGTGGGTAGTCACCCACACTTTACCGCACCGCGTCGATCGACTGCGATGAACCCATTGACACTGCTGGGTGGACATAGGTGGGGCGGGTGATGGGACGGTAAGAAACTCGGCCCCCCCGTTGTTGCTACTGCCGCGCCGGGCGATCGAATCGAGCCGGCGACCTCTGGGTTACGAAGTCCAGCGCGTCCGCTGACCATCGCGCTGCGAACGATGTTATTTATTTATTTATTACGACACGAAGGCGAGCGAGCCGGAGCTGCACGACAGTTCACGTGACTCGGGATCTTAGCAGCACGCGAGCTGCCCGTGCACGAGGTGCGGCTGCCTACGTGGGGCTTGTGCACGAGGTGCGAGTGTGGATGTGTGTCCGTGTGTGATGCAGCTGCGTGTGTGAGGGATGTGTGTGTGTGAGGGGTGTGTGTGTGAGGGATGTGTGTGTGTGTGAGGGATGTGTGTGTGTGAGGGATGTGTGTGTGTGAGGGATGTATGTGTGTGTGAGGGATGTGCGTGTGTGAGGGATGTGTGTGAAGGATGTGTGTGTGAGGGATGTGTGTGTGAAGGATGCGTGTGTGTGAGGGATGTGTGTGTGTGCGGGATGTGTGTCTGTGAAGGATGTGTGTGTGTGAGGGATGTGTGTGTGTGTGTGAAGGATGTGCGTGTGTGAGGGATGTGTGTGTGAGGGATGTGTGTGTGTGAGGGTGCCTGCGTGTGTGAGGGATGTATGTGTGTGTGAGGGTGCCTGCGTGTGTGAGGGATGTGTGTGTGTGAGGGATGTGTGTGTGTGTGAAGGATGTGTGTGTGTGTGAGGAATGTATGTGTGTGTGAGGGATGTATGTGTGTGTGAGGGATGTGTGTGTGTGAGGGATGTGTGTGTGTGAGGGATGTGTGTGTGTGAGGGATGTGTGTGTGTGAGGGATGTGTGTGAAGGATGTGTGTGTGTGAGGGATGTGTGTGTGTGAGGGATGTGTGTGTGAGGGATGTGCGTGTGTGAGGGATGTGTGTGTGTGTGAGGGATGTGTGTGAGGGATGTGTGTGAAGGATGTGTGTGAGGGATGTGTGTGTGTGTGTGAGGGATGTGTGTGAGGGATGTGTGTGAGGGATGTGTGTGTGTGAGGGATGTGTGTGTGTGTGTGAGGAATGTGTGTGTGTGTGAGGGATGTGTGTGTGTGAGGGATGTGCGTGTGTGAGGGATGTGTGTGTGACGGATGTGTGTGTGTGTGTGTGAGGGATGTGTGTGAGGGATGTGTGTGTGTGAGGGATGTGTGTGTGTGAGGGATGTGTGTGTGTGAGGGATGTGCATGAAGGATGTGTGTGTGTGAAGTTGGGTGTCTGTGTGACACTGTGGGGAGCGGTAGTGTAGCGGTTAGCGCTACGCTGCGCTATAAACCCGGCGACCCGGGTTCGATTCCCCCTCACGGCGAACACCAGTGACGATTATCTGAACCGGTCCTGGGCCTCCCCAAGGTCGACTCAGCCTCAAATGAGTACCTGGTGCGGTGTGTAAACATCGCCACTGGGGAGACAAAGGCGGTCGAGCGTGGTGCTGGCCACCCACCCCCTCGTGTACCGTTCTGGCCTTCATAGGTGCTCGCTAACAGCACTTGCCCCTACAGTCTGTTAAGGCTATATGGGCGATCTTTATCTTTGTCTTTTTGTGTGGCTGCGTGAGGCTGTGTGTGTGTGAGACCGTGCGCCCGTGTGTGTGAGGCTGTGTGTTTAAGTGAGGCTGTGTGCACGTGTGTGTGAGGCTGTGTGTTTAAGTGAGGCTGTGTGCACGTGTGTGTGAGGCTGTGTGTTTAAGTGAGGCTGTGTGTTTAAGTGAGGGTGTGCGCCCGTGTGTGTGAGGCTGTGTGTTTAAGTGAGGCTGTGTGCACGTGTGTGTGAGGCTGTGTTTAAGTGAGGCTGTGCGCCCGTGTGAGTGAGGCTGTGTGTTTAAGTGAGGCTGTGTGTTTAAGTGAGGCTGTGTTTAAGTGAGGCTGTGTGCACGTGTGTGAGGCTGTGCGTTTGAGTGAGGCTGTGCGCCCGTGTGAGTGAGGCTGTGTTTAAGTGAGGCTGTGTGCACGTGTGTGTGAGGCTGTGCGTTTGAGTGAGGCTGTGTGTCTCTGTGTGATGCTGTGTGCCTGTGCGTGTGAGGTTGTGTGTCTGGGTGAGACTTTGTGTCTAAGTAAGGCTGTGTGTGTGTGCGAGGCTGTGTGTGTGAGGCTATGTGTCTGTGTGAAGCTGTGTATCTGTGTAAAGCTGTCTGTCTGTGTGAGGCTGTCTGTGAGAGTGTATGTGTGCGGTTGCACGTCTGCGTGTGTGTGAGGCTGTGTGTGTGTGAGGCTGTGTGAGAGTCCATGTGTGTGTGGTGCGCTGTGTGTGTGAATGTGCGCATGTTTGTGTGGAGTGATAGTGTAGCGGTTAGCGCGCTGCGCTTCGAACCCGGCGACCCGAGTTTGATTCCCGCTCACGGCCAACACCAGTGACGATTATTTGAGCCGGTCCTGAGCCTCCCCTAGGTCGACTCAGCCTCAAATTAGTACCTCGCCACTTGGGAGACAAAGGCGGTCGGGCGTGGTGTTGGCCATCCACCTCCTCGTGTGCCGTGCCGGCCTTCATAGGTGTTGCTCGCTAACAGCACTTGCCCCAACAGTCTGTTGAGGCTATACGGGGGATCTTTGTCTGTATGTATGGGTGTGTCTCTATGTGTCTGAGTGTTTCTATATTTGCGTGTAATGTTCTGCAAAAGCTTGTAAAAAAAAAGTGGACAAGTTACCCTATGTCATATACTATAGGGGCAAGTGCTGTTAGCGAGCACCTATTAAACCCGACAGGGTGCGTCACCAACACCACGGCCGCCTTTGTATCCCCATAAACACACCACACCAGGAACTCATTCCAGGCTGAGTCGACCTAGTGGAGGGCCAGGACCGGGAGTGGCTCAGACACACGCGTCACTGATGTTGGCCGTGAGCGGGAATCGATCACCGCGTGCATGTCGCAGTGCGCTAACCACCGCGCCACCGCTCCTCGCACGTGTAAACATCCCCCGTGTAGCCTTAACAGACTGTTGGGGCAAATGCTGTCCGCGAGCACCTATGAAGGCCGGAATGGCTACACGAGGGGGTGGCTGGCCAACACCACGCCCTAGCCGCCTTTGTCTCCCTAGTACCGATGTTTATTGAACCGTTCACACGTGTACACAAATGCTGCATGGTATAATGCATTGCTTATATCAAGTGTAATATAATAAGTATAGACTCACGCACGCTAAACAGTCACTTTCACACACACAGTCGGCATTGCAGCGCAGTACGATAACCACACAAAGACAAAGATCCCTCGTATAGCATTTAACAGATTGGTGAGGACAAGTGCTCTGAGCGAGTGAGCATCTGTGAAGGCCGGCACGGCACGCGAGGGGGTGGGTGGCCAACACCACGCCCGGCCACCTTTGTCTCCCCAGTTGCTGATGCGTTTTTCACACCGCACCAGGCACACATTCATTAAGGTCCGAGGCGACCTAGGGGAGGCACAGAACCGGTTCAGCAATTTTCTGTCACTTTGCGGGCCGGGTCAGTAGCGCAGTGCGCTAACCACTGCGCCACCGCTCTGCAACCACAACACACACGCAAAGATCTCCCGCTTATAGCGTCAACAGACTGTTGGGGCAAGTGCTGTTAGGGGGCAAGTGCTGTTAGCGACCACACACACACAGACTGTATGTGTGTGTGTGTATACTGCAGTGAAGATTACCTTATAGACACAATCGCCCACGTCAAAGAGTCCCGCGAGGAGAGCTGTAGACATTATCGGGGGGGGGGGGGGGGCGCTTGAAGGCCAGAAGTTCTCCAAGCCACAGAAACACAAACTTTTACCCTCCCCCCCACCCCCCTCTTCCCCCCAGCAACATCCACTGCCAACTGCGACGTGAAGCAGAGCAGAGGTAAAGAGAGAGAGTCGCGCTGGAGCGAAGAGAGCGAGAGAGATGAGGAGTCCGGCAGAGAGACACGGACAGAGGAGAGGACACGGACAGAGAGAGACCTCCGTTTTGCACTGACTGCATAACAAGCCTCAACTTCAAGAGTTTATCCGAGAGGCGAAGTTTGGAGTCGTGGTCGAACGGAGGCGGAGTCTCGCTCGCTCTTCCACCCCCCCACACTCTCGCCCTTCCCCCCCCCCCCACCACTCTTTCTTATTTTCTTTAAACTTTATTTTTTTTCTTACACGAGAGGAGAGAGGGTGTGACGGAATGTTGGGGGCTGGAGGGGGGTCAGAGCAGATGGGGGGGTGGTGAGTGGGCGGGAGGCAGAGAGAGGGGGAGATGTAGAGAGAAGGGATGGGTGGGGAGGGGGAGAGAGCGACAAGGGGGGAGAGGGAGTGGAGGGGGAGACGGAGGGGGTGGTGGTCTGGGGTTAGAGGGGTGGGGAAGGGGGTCGAGGGACAACGGGGGGAGTTGGCGGGGAGGGAGGAGGTAGTGGGGCGGGAGAGAAGTGAAGGGGGGGGAGAGAGAATGGGGGAGGGAGGGAGGGAGGTGGAGAGGGTGGAGCGAGAGGAGAGGGCGTGGTGGAGAGGTTTGAGGCGAGCTGGACTCCGGAGGTAGTTTCGCTGGAGCTGGTGATGGTGGTTGTGATGGTGCTCGCGAACAGCACTTGCCCCTACAGCGTGTTCAGGCTACGCGGGGAGGATCTTTGAGGTTGAAGTGATGGTGTGGGGAGCGGTGATGTAGCGGTCAGCGCGCTGCGCTACGAACCCGGCGACCCGAGTTCGATTTTCGCTCACGGTCAACACCGGTGACGATTAATCCGAACGCGGTCCCGGGGCCTCCCCTAGGTCGACTCAGCCTCAAATGAGTACTTGGTGCGGTGTGTAGTAAACATCGCCACTCGGAGAGACAAAGGGCGACAGGGCGTGGTGGTTGTTGTTGTTGATACACAACAACTTCCTGCGCTGTACCGATCTTAACAGGCGCTCGCTAATAGCCCTTGCCCGCGGCGGCCTGGGTGTCTACACGGGGGATCTTTGCCTTTCTTCCATGGTGGTTGGCGATGCTTAAGCTGGGACGGCGGCGGTGGTGGCGGCGATGGCTGGTGGCCGCATTTGATCATAGGAGGGAAGTTGTGGCACTGCTTCAACCAGAAGCCGCGCGTGCGGTTTGTGGAACTGTCGGTGTTGGAGAGAGAAGGGCGAGTGCGGGAGAGGGCGGGGGAGGGAGAGAGTTTGGAGAGGGGGAAGAGGAGGGGTGGGGTTAGAGAGAGAGGAGGGGAGAGTTGCGGGACGGGAGTGATAGAGAGAGGGAGATGCGGGGGGTGCGGGGCGTGGAGGGGAGGAGGGGGTAGAGAGAGAGGGGGGGGGGTAGTGGGGGTGGGGGAGACAATTTGGGAAGGAGTTGGAGAGAGGCATGAGAGTGTGTGGGGAGGGAGAGTGGGGAGGGAGAGTGTGTGGGGGAGAGTGTGTGGGAGGGAGAGTGTGTGGGGAGGGAGAGTGGGGAGAGTGTGTGGGGAGAGAGAGTGTGTGGGAGGGAGAGTGTGTGGGAGGGAGAGTGTGTGGGAGGGAGAGTGTGTGGAGGGAGAGTGTGTGGGAGGGAGAGTGTGTGGAGAGGGAGAGTGTCTGGGGAGGGAGATTGTTAGGAGGGGAGAGTGTGTGGGAGGGAGAGTGTGTGGGGAGGGAGAGTGGAGAGAGTGTGTGGGGAGGGAGAGTGTGGGAGGGAGAGTGTGGGAGGGAGAGTGTGTGGGAGGGAGAGTGTGTGGGGAGGGAGAGTGGGGAGAGTGTGTGGGGAGAGAGAGTGTGTGGGGAGGGAGAGTGTGTGGGGAGGGAGAGTGTGTGGGAGGGAGAGTGTGTGGGAGGGAGAGTGTGTGGGGAGGGAGAGTGTGTGGGGAGGGAGATTGTTAGGAGGGAGAGTGTGTGGGAGGGAGAGTGTGTGTGGAGGGAGAGTGTGTGGGAGGGAGAGTGTGTGGGAGAGTGTGTGGAGGGAGAGTGTGTGGGAGGGAGAGTGTGTGGAGGGAGAGTGTGTGGCAGGGAGAGTGTGTGTGGAGGGAGAGTGTGTGGGAGGGAGAGTGTGTGGGGAGCGAGAGTGTGTGGGGAGAGTGTGTGGGGAGGGAGATTGTTAGGAGGGGAGAGTGTGTGGGGAGGGAGAGTGGGGAGAGTGTGTGGGGAGGGAGAGTGTGTGGGGAGGGAGAGTGTGTGGGAGGGAGAGTGTGTGGGGAGGGAGAGTGTGTGGGAGAGTGTGTGGGAGGGAGAGTGTGTGGGAGGGAGAGTGTGTGGGGAGGGAGAGTGTGTGGGAGAGTGTGTGGGAGGGAGAGTGTGTAGGAGGGAGAGTGTGTGGGGAGGGAGAGTGGGGAGGGAGAGTGTGTGGGAGGGAGAGTGTGTGGGAGAGTGTGTGGGAGGGAGAGTGTGTGGGAGGGAGAGTGTGTGGGGAGCGAGAGTGTGTGGGAGGGAGAGTGTGTGGGGAGGGAGAGTGTGTGGGAGAGTGTGTAGGAGGGAGAGTGTGTGGGGAGGGAGAGTGTGTGGGAGGGAGAGTGTGTGGGAGAGTGTGTGGGAGGGAGAGTGTGTAGGAGGGAGAGTGTGTGGGAGGGAGAGTGTGTGGGAGAGTGTGTGGGAGGGAGAGTGTGTAGGAGGGAGAGTGTGTGGGAGGGAGAGTGTGTGGGGAGCGAGAGTGTGTGGGAGGGAGAGTGTGTGGGGAGGGAGAGTGTGTGGGAGAGTGTGTAGGAGGGAGAGTGTGTGGGGAGGGAGAGTGTGTGGGAGGGAGAGTGTGTGGGAGAATGTGTGGGAGGGAGAGTGTGTGGGAAGGGAGAGTGTGTGGCGAGAGAGACAAAGACGGTGGCGTATACTATCGAGTGAGCAGGCGGTGCAACTGCACCGGGGCCGGGCTAAGAGACGGGAAGGGGTAGGGGGGTCAGAGGGAGGAGGGGTGACATTTAATTCCTTGCACCAGGACCCATGCCAACCACTACACACACTACTGAAGAGAGAGAGAGAGGGGGAGATGGTGGTTTAATTACAAGCTGGGTCTGTCCGGGACCGCGACCGGCACACCACATCCAGGTTACCCCAGTCGCTCCGGCTGCGGGGACACAGACGCGTGATCGAGCCTACCAGCTGGCATCGACCGGGCCACCGCTTTAGCTCCCAACTCCACAAGGAGTAGGAGGAGGCAGTCTCTCATCCAAGCGCTGAGCAGCATCAACGCCGCTGAGCGTCTCAGATCCGTGCGTATGTTCAACTTCTTACGCACCGTACGTGGCCAGCCGCGCTCATCGGAGGTGCATTCGGGCTGACTTGGTCGTAAGCAAGAACAATCACCAAGAACAACAACAAACAACAACCAAGAACTAAAATCACCCCCCCCCACGCCACTCAAATTTTCTCGCCTCCGCTAACCATCAAGATGACGTCACAATGGACTTAACTGACCAAGTCCAATTCGGTCGTTGATGTTTGGTCCGTTGGCGAGGGTGCGTTCATACCGTTCCGTCGGACTTCGTGATAAAAGCCCCCCCCCCTTCTACCCCCTCCACTCCCTGCCCCCCCACTAACATTTATTGATTCTCCGTGCAGAATCAATCACCACAATGAAGTTCCGCTCAAGGCGCTCGTGACAGCCACTAATTGCCTCTCTCTCTGTGAGTTGTGGGTGTTTATGTTTTAAAGTTTTGGGGGTGCGGTGGGGGGGTGGAAGGAAAGTGGGGGGGGGGCAGGGGGGAGGTTAGGGGTGGACGAGGGTGGACAGAGAGGGCGGCCGAGTTGACTGCGGTCCACTGGACGGCAGTATTGGTTAGAGACGAGGGTCGGGGAGAAATAGTCCGTGAGTGTGTGTGTGGGTACGCGCTCCCTAACAGCACTTGTCCCTAGAGCCTGGTAGAGGCTACACGGGGGACCTTTGTCCTTTTGTTCCCGTCGGGGGAGCGGTGGAGCAGCGGCGAGCGCGCGGCGCTACGAACCCGGCGACCCGAGTTCGATTCCCGCTCACGGCCAAAAACAGCGACGACGATCTGAACCGGTCCTGGGCCTCCCCGAGGTCGACTCAGCCCTTAAACGAGTTCCTGGTGCGTGCGGTGGCGTGTAAACATCAGCACCGGGGAGACAAAGGCGGCCGGGACGTGCTTCTGGCCACACCATAGGCTCCGCGGGGCAATCGGCCTTCATAGTTGCTACTCGCTATCAGCGCTTGCCCCGACAATATGTGAAGCGCTTTTCTTCATCGCAAGGTCCCCGTGGGCTCCTGGCGGTCCATGGTGGCTCCCGGCGGCTCCTGGTGGCCCCTGGTGGCCTTGAGTACGGCCCCCGAAGTGCGGCACCCGCCCCCCCCCCCCCCACCACCACATCATCATCGTTGTCGTGCTGCTGTCAAAACTCCCAATGTGTTTCAAATCGTGTGGCGGCCCTCTCATCTGACGAGGTCTTATCGGCGAAAGTGACCCAACACCCCCCCCCCCCCCCCCGTGGAAATGAGTGTAGATTATCGCTGTGTGAGCCACACGAAGCGGGGATGCGGGGGGGGGGGGCACGTGGTTATAGGATTCTGCAGCTACACAGACTCGCGTCGGGTCTGATAATTTGTCTGGAGGAGAGTTTCGGTTGGGTCTTGTTTTATTCTTTTTATTATGCCACCTCGCGTGCGAAATGATGATCGAGGCAATGCGATGCGATGCGGCCGGCCCCCCACTCTCCCCCCCCCCCTCCGGCACCCCCCCCCAATTTTTTTTTTATACCAAATGTAGACGAGGTCCAGTTACGGGCGTGATTGTCACTCATACAAACAGCTCGTGTCGTAAATAATAATCATAATCTCATATAAAGAAGCAAATTACGTCAGTGATACCGTGAAAGAAAAAGAAACATATCAATGAATAAACGCTGTATGTGGTCGTGAAAAGTACAATTACAATAATCGGCGACGTTTCAGGTAATTGTCCTTCATTGCAACGTTATTCTAGGATAATAATAGTAATACAATGTTTTTTTAAATTTTCGTGTGATGAAGAAGGGTCATTTCACAAAACGTCGCCTATATATTTTATGTTTAGGCCACACTGTTTTTTTTTTAAACCCATCCCATCAGCACACACGGTCTTTTGAACAACAGCAACAAAACGTCCAAAAAATTACGCACTTAACTCTC